ACATTTATGCAGCCAACAGACACAGGAAGAAATGCTCATCATCACTGGCCATCAGAGAAATGCAAATCAAAACCACAATGAGAAACCATCTCACACCAGTTAGAATGGCAATCATTAAAAAGTCAGGAAACATCAGATGTTGGAGAGGATGTGGAGAAACAGGAACACTTTTACACTGTTAGTAGGAGTGTAAACTAGTTCAATCATTGTGGAAGACAGTGGCGATTCCTCAAGGATCTAGAACTAGAAATACCATTTGACCCAGCAATCCCATTACTAGGTACATACCCAAAGGATTACAAATCATGCTACTATAAAGACACATGCACACATATGCTTATTACGGCACTATTCACAATAGCCAAGACTTGGAACCAACCGAAATGTCCATCAATGATAGACTGGATTAAGAAAATGTGGCACATGTACACCATGGAATACTATGCAGCCATAAAAGAGGATGAGTTCATCACTTAAATTTCCACAAAGGCTTTAACCATAGAAAATCCTGTGCGACTGGATATTTTTGGTTTTGTCTGGGAAAATCAAGGAAAGATTGATTTTCATTTGGTTCTACATTTATTCTGACACCAGAGTAGGGAACAGGAATCCATAAGGTAATCATTAGGATACAAGTTCCCCTGAAAGTCACAGTATGCTTGGGGAGGGCACAAGACTTTTCCCCTAGGTACAAAGTTATAGAAAGAGAGGTCCAAACTTATCTAGCCCTTAGACGGCATAGTATCCCCTAGACTCTCAGTTATATATAATAGAAGTTTTGAGAGATAAAACATCAGGAAATATAAAACAATGAAGGTCCCATCTGCCTTTAAAATGTAACTCATATGGAGTCCCCTTTGAAAAGAAGCAATACTTTTGGTTCCAGTCATAATGAAGTAACTTACATTGAACTAACCCAATCAAAAGTTATTACCAAACTGGACAAAATTAATAAAATAACTGTGCATTAGCCTGTTCTCATGCTGCTAATAAAAACATACCTGAGACTGGGTGATTTATAGAGGAATGAGGTTTAATTAAGTAAGGTCTCAGGAAACTTGCTATCATGGCAGAAGGGGAAGCAAACACATCGTTCTTTACATGGCAGCAGGGAGAAGAATGAGTGTCTGGTGAAAGGGGAAGCCCCTTATGAAACCATCAGCTCTTATGAGAATTAACTCACTATCACAAGAACAGGATGGGGGAAACTTCCCCCATGATTCAATTATCTCCACCTGGTTCCTCCCATAATATGTGGGGATTATGGGGACTACAATTCAAGATGAGACACACAGTCAACCCATATCAAACTGCTTGAAGGAATTTGAGAGGAATCAACTCGGATAAGACTTGAAGGACTGTGATCCCTAAGAAAAGAGAAGTGCACCAATGAGAGCATCACATTTGGCTAGGTATTTTTCTACAGGCATTTGCTATTTCATTGTAAGGTGGAACAGAAGAGATGAGAAAGGAACATCCTTACCAACTAAGGAGACAGAGAAGTTCAGGTAAACCAAAGCATAAAGGATTTGAGGAATATAATACCAGAGAGAAGTAAACTGCATTGATGTTCCCTTTAAGGCATTAGTCAACTCCTAACTTGAATAGCAAGAGGTAGTACTCTAAGAAACAGACTAAAAATAGCATGTAGAAGGCTAAATTGCAGGATAGAGATTTCAGCAGTCACGTGGTGTTGGGGAGATGGAGGCTGGAGCTCAAGCTCTGCTAAATAGGAAGAGCCTTGGTAAACATACTATGGTTTGAACTGAGACTCTTGAAAAGCTGTTTTAGGAGTAAAGGCTAGACCTCAGGATTGAGGGCAAAATTGAAATATGCCAGCTTAACAAAGCCTATAAATAAACTATGGGCAGCACAAGTTGGTTTGCTGATACTCTATCTGCCTGTGAAAAGAAAATCTTATTTTGAGGAAAATGACATGAACAATCTTTAATAATCAACATCTATAGTTAAACAAAATTCTGACACCTGCTTTTCCTTTTTTAAAAAGAGAACTAAATGACCAAAGAAGAACAAATGACTGAGAGAGAGAGACAGAAAAAGAGAAAAATAACAGACAATGGAAATAATTCCACAGATAATTCAGGTATACAGGCATTTTCGAATTACTATAATTAATGTTCTAGAAAACAGGAAAAGAATCATGAAAATTTTATCTAAGATAAAAATTCCTTTTCCACATACAGAAGAATAAAATTAGATCTTTATGTTACACCATATACAAACATAAATTCAAAATGAATAAAGACTTAAACGTAAGAACTGAAATTATGTAACTCTAAAAGAAAGCATAGGGGAAAGCTCCATGACATTGGTCTGGACAATGATGTGTTTGGATATGACTCCAAAGCACAGGCAACAAAAGCAAAAACAGACAAATTGAATTATATCCAATTAAAAAGCTCTGCACAGAAAAGGAAACAATCCACAGAATCAAGAGACAATCTACAGAATGGGAGAAAATATTTGCAAATCATACATCTGATAAGGAGTTAATATGCAAAATACATAAGAAACTCAAACAACTGAATAACACCAAAAAAAACCCCTGATTTTTAAAATAGACAAATGACCAGAATGAACTTTTCTCAGAAAAAGACATGCAAAAGGCCAACAGTTATATGAAAATATGCTCAATATTGCTAACCATTAGGAAAATGCAAATTAAAACCGCACCTCTTAGAAGGGCTATTTAAAAAAAAACAACAAAGATAAATTTTGGCAAGGATGTGAAGAAAAAGGAACCCCTGCACACTGTTGGTGCAAATGTAAATCAGTATAGCCACTATGGAAAACAGCAGGGAAGTTCTCTAAAACAATTAAAAATAGAAGTACCATATGATCTGGAAGTCCTAATACTGGGTATATATCCAAAGGAATGAAATCAGTATCTTAAAGAGATATACACACTCCCATTTTCATTGCAGCATTATTCATAACAGCCAAAATACAGAATTAACCTAAGTATCCAACAACAGACAAATGAATAAAGAAAATGTGGTATATAACACAATGGAATACTATTCAGCCTTAGAAAAGAAGAAAATCCTGTCATTTGCAGCAACATGGATGAAACTGGAGGTCATTATGCTTAGTGAAATAAGCCAGGTATAGAAAGACAAATACTACATGATCTCAGTTATATACTGAATCTAAAATACCTTGAACTCAAAGAAGCAGAGAGTACAATGATGGTTACCAGGAGCTGGGGCTGGAGATCCAAGAGAGATTAGAAAGATGTTGCTTAAAGGATACAGAGTCTAAGTTAGGAGAAATAAGTTCAAGAGATCTGTTGTACAACATGGTGACTGTAGACAACAATGATGTATTATACACTTGAAAATTGCTAAGGGAGGAGATTTTAAGTGTTATCACCACAAATAAATGATAAACATGTGAGGAAATACATACATTAATTAGTGTGATTTAGCCATTCCAAAATCTATACATATTTCAAAACATCATTTTGTATGCCACAAATTTTTTAAAAAGAATCCTTAATAAGTCAAATGAAATAAAATAGACATTGAGATCCAATATTTCCCACTTTCTATGCTGAGGAATATTAGTGATTTTTCTCTCTGCTAATTTCTTCTTCTTTTTGATTACTTCCATCCCCGAACTCACCCTCGATTTTCAAAACAGTTGTCATTTTATGCTGTCATGGAGAGGACAGAAGACAACTGTAGTTTTAAAATTCAATCTACTGATTTTTTTAAAAGACATGAACATGATTTCAAGAAGAGGCAACATATTTAACAGAAACAATACATGTTTTAAACTCTGATACCTATGTTGAAACTCTGACCCAGCCACCTGCAAGTTTGTGTGAACAGACACACGACTTAACCATTCTGAATTTGTTTTCTCTTCCATAAAAACAGATCAAGACTTACCTTAAAAATTTGTCTTAAGCAATAAATGAGATGCTTTACATAGGTAGGGTGCTTAACACATAAAACGTAGCCAGTAAATGTTGGTACCTCCTCTGCTGTTTGCTATCAACAATGGAGAGAAGCATATATGCAAAACTGGTAATCTTGAACCTCAGAATGGGATATTATCTACGTATTTACTGTCATTAGATAGCCCCAACCAAGATAAAATAGTACACAATTTAAGTTTTCTTTCTACCTTTCACAGCAGAGAATAGTAATGATTGACATGAGCATCTGCACAGTATGGGTTGGTCAAAACAATAGCTTCTCAAGTACATAGGAAAAAAATCCAGAGTTACAAATATCTGAGACAAAGCTCAAGACAGCATATAAAGGCTTGTTGTTACACAATGCTATGCATGCCTTGGCTTGCCTTTCAACAATCATTCCTATTAAATCATGTGTCTCTCTGAGACATCTAATGAAGTCATGTTCACGATCAGCTTAATCACAGGATGCAGTATAGTACATATTTTGACAGGAAAGCTGTTTGTCTAATACGAAACTTGCCACAAATATATAATTGCAGAAAATGTTGATTATGCTTTCAGTGTGACAATCCTTGGCTTGAATCCTTTTATGCACATTTATTCACTTTAAGATAGACTGTTTCGTGTACCATTAAATAAAAGATTATTTTTAGGCAAAATCTATGTCAAGCAATTGGAGTAGTGAACAATTACAAACACAGCAAACTGAACCATATACTTCATATGGAAATCTTTAAATTCTGGAGAAATCACACATCTCTACCTAATGTTACATACAATTGAAATCAATTGTAGTTATAAGCACATGAAAATAACCAAGAAAGAAACTGAGTTGAGAAGTCATTCATGAAAAATATTTTCTTAAAATGTTAATAACAGACTCTAGGTTTGGCTTCTAGCTAATTATCTAACTGCTTAACTGGTGGCTGAATATTCACATCTTAGATATTCAGAGAGTTTTTAAGGTGAGGTTGTGACATCTGCCTTTGCTGTTATAAATGATCTCCAGGCCCAATGTTATTAGGTCTCAGCACTAATTAGAAATGAGACTTACATCACTCTCATGACCTTCTCGAAGGTTGTATGTGAGGTCATGCTGAATGTCTTCCACGAATTTGTGAGCATATTCTGGGTAAAGGTCTAGCACTTCAAAGAGTCCTTTGAGGATGATGCACTGGAGATCACAGTAGGTTAAAGCCTTTACATCTGCATTGGTCTTGATCACTTGGTCCTTAATTGATAGATTTGCTCCAATTAAATCCCCTTTCCCTAGAAAGAGAGAGAGAGATCACTTTCAAAAAAAGCAAGCTTAGGACTGATAACCTCATTTGACTCACAGGCCTCATTTTTCAGTGAGATTACACTGAAAAGAGAAAAACGTTTACCTTGGGGCAGGGCTTTTCAGCTTTGGCATACAATAGCCTCATACCTGGGCTTTAGCTTTTATTTGTTTTATGGCCATTATGCTCCATTTCATAAAGAACCAACAACTAACAAATTTTTAACTAACAACAGCAAGCAGCAAGTAAGCAATATCCTTGGAATGTTACTAGGACAAATGGCCTCTACTTCCCATTCAACAATTTTTTTTAACTTTTAAATTTTTTATTGTACCCAGCATTGTTTAAGATTTTTATTTTTTATTGTGCCCAGCATTTGTGGAAGCAAAGTCCCTGGTATGTAGCAGACTTCAATACAAGTCTGTTTTATCAGATTTGACAGTAAAAGGAAACATGTCAAATTGACTATGAATACCTGAGTTTTTAATAAATCTGCATGTCGAATAAAAAATAGTTTTAAAATTATTATATTATAACTAGGTATTATCTTCAAGTTAACACTGGACTTAAACCTTGAAATTTAGCCTATTTTGGTAGAAGAAAACATAGACTAAAATCTATATTTACAGACACTAGGAATAATACATAGCCAGGTGGTATGGAAGAATTTAAGTCTGATTTATTGTTGTCAATATTGCTAAACTTGGAAATTTTGTTTCTTGTATATTTCATTAGAAATCTAACTTGCTGCTCAAAACTCAAAGTTGGGTACTGATGCAGGATGTAAATATAGCCAGGATGTTTTGAATACGGCAAATTTTTAAATTTTGTATATTTGAGGAGAATTTATCATGATGCGGTGTCTTGCACAATAAACATTCACATTCTCTGTGAAGCAACTAGTGTCTGCAATAACTTCAGGGTCATCATACTTTCATACTTTGGGTTGCCATGGTATGGCTATTTCAGTCACAATGACACTAGCTATAAAAACAGCACCAACATCCTGCCAATCTTGGCATCCTAGAAAGAATTCCACTTTATTTATTCGTTCAATGAATATTTATGGGGAACTGACAACGTGTGCTGGACCTTGTATTGAGTCCTGGCAAGCAGGTACTGGTGAATACCATGTTGGTATTCACCTCATTACCTAAAACTACCTCACTAATTTTACAGTCTTGTGGACTTCTTATTGTCTAGATTTAGGACCTTTAGTTAAGTTTTTGAGTAACTTTGGGTCTCAGTATTCTTATTTCTAAAAGATGAGAAAGATTTTCTTGTGGGCTCCATTTTTCAGCATTATACTACTGATCTTTGCTAATCAGTTACTCTTTCATTGAAACACATAAGGTGATAGGATGCATCTGCAAACCACCCAGGTTAGAGCTATAACTTATGTTTAGTTATAATTAGGCAGACTAATGTTCTGTTGAGAGTACATTTATTCATGCTTTGCCATTTTCTTTTAAAACAATGAAGAAATTGGTCGGGGAGACACTATTACCTGGACATGAAATCAAGGCGTACAAGGCAAACGAATTCCAGCCCCATAACAAATTCCTGCCCCTACCCTTTCCAGGTATCAGATTAAGAAATGTCTGCACGTATTGACTGGACAAGAAAGTTGCTAGGATAAGTTTATGGTTGAACAGCTGTTGTTGTGAAGAAGAAGAACATTAATTTTTTTCATTGGCAGAGTAAACATGTGCTAAATATCTACAGGTCAAGTATAATGTCACGTACTTGCTAAGTTTATCAAAGTAGTATTGATTTGAATTAGCCCTATAAGCCCTATAAGGCAATATTATATATATAATCCATAGGGAAAGTAAAATAGTCAATCTTTATTGAAATAATGTTAATCACAGAAAGTAAATATTAATCTTTTATTGTCTTTGAGTTTAGCCCCAGTAGCACATACCAGTGTTTAGAATGGTCACGCAGCAATTTGCACTTTTGATGTATACATGGGAGAGGCAAAGATGTGAAAATGTTACCCATGTTAATCACATTTATGGAGAAACTTGGGGCCAGGAGCAAAAGATAATGAATTAAATCTTTCAGCCATAAGTAGTTTTTAAAAAAATGTAACAAGAAATATCCAACTGAATCATATTTGACTAGCAATGGAAGTTACACAGAAGCCACTAAATTTGTACTTATTGTGCTCTAGTGTCATAGATGATGCCTTTATATTCTATTCCTAAAACTGTTGATAGCTACCAAAATTTAAAATACACCACAATTATAGAAAAATCCACATTATATCTGTTTAGAATGATACAAGATTCTAAGGAAAAAGTCTAGATGCCCTCTTAAAAACAGGCTGAATCCTCAGGCAGGCTATAAAACATTTCGTGGTACTAAAGAAAAATCAATAAAAAATATTTTATGATTAAGGTTAAGTTTTTGAAGCAAATTAAGAATAACTGTTAATTCTAATTTAGAATAACAAGATGATAGGGCGACTGGCCTTTAACTTCACAAAGTTGAGAAGAGGCCAGGAAGAGTGTTAAATTCTCCCCTTTAGAAAGAAAACACACACACACACACACACACACACACACACACACACGGAACCTTGCTCTAATATCGAGTTACTCTAGTATTGAGCCTTACTCTAATATTGATAAAGAAATGACCACATTAATAGTAAACTCTGAGTTGCCATTCCATGCCTTTCTATTAAGGAGAAAAACATAAGAGGATGAGAAAAGAACAGAGTCACAAATTTGAAAGACAAACCCTACCTTTACTCTAAGTGGTAAACAAGTCAACATGAAGCAGTGAAAAGCATATGGGTCTTTCATCATTCACTAGTGACTATCTCTTCATCTTTAATCTTGGAAATAATCATACTGTCTTAGTCTATTCAGGTTGCCATACTGTAAACTGGGCAGCTTATAAACAAAAAAATTTATTTCTCATAGTTCTAGAGGCTGGAGTCTGGTAAGGGCTCACTTTGTGATTCACAGATGGCACCTTTTCGTTGTGTCTGTACATGGGAGAAAAGGCAGGGTAGCTCTCCTGAGCCTCTACTATAAAGACACTAATCCCATTCATGAGGGCTGTGCCCTCATCACGTATTCACTTCTTCAAGGCCCCACTCCTAATACCATCATATTGGGGATTAGGTTTTGACATATCAATTTTGGGGGGAGGCAGACATTCAGATCATAGCCCACAAACAATGAGATTGTAAGATTTAAATTCAATAATGGGCATAAACACCCAGATCATATGAGGGATTCAATACATATTAGTTCTCTTTCTCTCTTCCAAAATATAATCTATTTTGAAGCTTACTAGCCAGAATCCACTCATAGAAGGCCTACAATGATTATATAGAATAACGTCTTTTTTAAATTTGCATAAATTTAAGGAATACAAGTGCAGTTTTGTTACATAGATATATTGCCTAGTGGTGAAGTCTGGACTTTGAGTGTAACCATCACTTGAATGGTGTACACTGTATCCATTAATTTATTTTCATCCCTCACCCCCTCCCCTAGTCTTCCACTTTTACTAGTCTCCAGTGTCTATTATTCCACACTCTATGTCCACTTGTACACTTTATTTACTTCCCAATTATAAGTGAGAACATGTAGTATTTGACTTTCTTTTTCTGAGTTATTTTGCTTAAGATAATGGTATCCAGTTCAATCCATATTGCTGCAAAATACATGATTTCATTCTTCTTTATGGCTGAATAGTATTCCATTGCATATATGTACCATATTTTTAATCCATTCATCCATTGATGAACACTTAGGTTGATTCCATATTGTTGCTATCATAAATAGTGCTGTGATAAACATATGAGTGCAGGGTTTTTTTTTTAAATTAGAAAAACAGATATTGTTTAGACACGGAAGGAATGCTGAATACAGAATCCAATGTCTTAGGTTAGCCTTGACTTTAGAAAAATCAGAGAAAATACCTTCGCCATCTGTCTTTCTGTGTTGTAAAGGCTTAAATGAGACCTTGTGTATGAACACACTTTGCAAGTAATTGTTTACAAATATAAGGTTCTTAAAAATTAAAAATAAAAAGGTACTGAGTTTATGCCCCTTTTATTAGCGCAAACTCTAAATATTTGTGTTTTATATTGGTGTTTGAAATACATCCTGAATTCACTTGCCTCTCACCATCATTACTACCACCTTGGCTGGTTTCAGACCCCATCATATCCTTCACTTCAGTTTAATTTTCATGTAGGCAAGGATTTTGGTCATTTTCTTTTTTGCTGCATTATCAGTGTTTAGACCAGTACTGGATTCATTCATAGGCCCTCAATAAATGTTAGGTGAATAAACAAACAAAAATTACAGTTTTTTTTTTTTTTTTTTTTTGAGATACTGTCTCTCTCTCTCTGCACTCAGGCTGGAGGCAGTGGCGCTATCTTGGCTTACTGCACCCTCCACCTCTCAGACTCAAGCGATCCTCCCATCTCAGCCTCCCAGGTAGCTGGAACTACAGGATCCTGCCACCATGGCCAGGTAATTATTTGTACTTTTAGTAGAGACAGGGTCTGTCCATGTTGCCCAGGCTGGTCTTGAACTCATGGGCTCAAGCAATCCACCTGCCTCGTCTCCAAAAGTGCTAGGATTACAGGCGTGAGTCACCGTGCCCAGCCCAGAGTGGCCTTTAAAACAGGCCCACATAAAATTGTAAACATGATTTTGTATACATTAACTCTGCATGCCGTTTTTGTCAACTGCCCTTTATGTTTCAATGAAGGCCAATTATGTATTAATATTGAGAGTCAGCTCTGTGGCACAAAATTTTCACAATACATCTTGTAAGTTTTCTTTAAGGAAGTAAAAAGAGCCTATAGTCACCTTGACAGTATTAGGTTAATGACTGCTATGAGAGCTTATTCTTGAAACATAGTCACCTTTGCTCTATTTCTAGCACAGATACAATTTAGTTTTTGTATTCTCTGAATTAATTTTCCACAAAAATAAATGCCCTCTTAAAACGGAGCAGCTATTTCACCAGAAGGGAGTATACATTATGATTAATAATTTGGCTTTAGGAATAAAAAATAACTGAGTTTATTTTCTTACTAGGTGATCTGGGTTTGTTAACTCAAGTACTAGTTATTCATGTCTAAAATGGAGATAATATTTATACTACTTTTTTTTTTTTACAAGAATTAAATAATATGTTGGATATAACACTTAGGCAAACTAAACTCATATGAAGAATACTCCTGAGTTCACGTCTTCATCTATTCTTTTCCTACTCTCAATAGCAGTTTTTCCCCATTTCATCTTCTTAATTTATGCTCCAGAGTCAAACTTCATACAAGTGTTTCAATTCAGACCTACCAAGAATAGCCAGCACCATGCTGTCTTTAAGAACTTCCATGGAGCCCGAGCATACAAAGTAGATGGCCTGCAAAGCATCCCCTTGACGCAGCAGATACTCCCCCGGAGCACAGAAAGAGGTTTTGATGTGTAGAGACAGAGACCTGAGGCAGCCCCGGCTGGCGCATTCAAAAAGGGACAACTGTAAGATCTCCTTGTTCAAGTGCATAGTGATGTCAGAACGCAGTTCATCTGGAAAGTCCTTCAAAAGCTGTCAGAGAAGATGAAGGAGGAAATCAAATTGGGGTAAGTGTCGTCTAACTGATTTACTTTGCAAGACTGCAGGGATGCTCTTCCTACTGTCTCCTGCTGTTTGGCCATCCAGCATACGGAAGAGGAAATCTAAGTATGTATAATCCTGGAGAGATTTTTCAGTGACTGTGATTTCAATTATGTGCTACTAAATAATCAGCTGATAAGAAGTCTGGAGAAAGAGAACAAATTAAGAAAACGCTCTAGCAGGAAAACATATAATGACTCATTGTGACTTGCTTCTCACAGAGTCCTAGTCAGGACATAAGATATGGAATTTGGATCCACTGGTGATTATACGAAGAGAGGAGAAACCAATTAATCACTACTAAAATGTTGGTTACAGGTTTGGTTGGTGGGTTGATGAAATGGTTGGTTGATTTATATAATAT